GGTCGCGTTCCCCTTCTCGGGCCTCTCTTGGGGCTCTTGGGGCCCTCTCGGGCCGTCTTGGGCGCCTCAAGCACCGTCTTGGGGCCCTCGCGGGCCGTCTTGGGGCCCTCTTGGAGGCCTCTTCCTCTATATGGGAGCGGTATTGGAAGCCTCTTGGGCCGTCTTGGAGCATCGGGATGCCAAAAGGCCGAAAAAAAAACGTCAAAGCCCAATCGTAAAACAATGAGTTGTGCCTCTTGGGGCCACCTTGGGAGATCTCTTGGAGCCTCGTCGGCCCTCTTGGGAGCTTCTTGGGGGCCTCTTGGATCCGATTGGGGGCCTCCTGGGACTTCCCGAGAACCTCTCGGGGTAGAAAGCTCGGATTCTCGGTTCATGTTTCCCTTCTTGGGCCTCTCTTGGGGCCGTCTTGGGGCCCTCTCGGGCCGTCTTGGGCGCCTCAGGCACCGCCTTGGGGCCCTCGTGGGCCGCCCAGGGCCCTCTTGGAAGCCTCTTCGGCTATCTTGGAGCTGTCTGGGAGGCCTCTTCCTCCTCCTCGTCCCCCTCCTCCTCCTCCTCCCACTCCAACTCTCTCTCTCTCTCTCTCCTCCTGATCTTCCTCCTCCTGCAGCGTGTTCCGGAAGGCTCCCGCCGGAACATGCTGTGCACAAGTGCTGTCACTGCTCCCGCCACCGTGCCCTGGGTGGTGGGTCAGAGGCCTCATGGGTGTTGGTTTGGATCTCGTGGTTGGCCTGTCGGGAACGTCGTGGAGGCAATTTCGCAGCTTCTCGGTAGCCGTTTTGGGACCGTTGCGGGGCCTCCTCGGGCTGCTTTGTGGCCTCTTGAGGCATCGTTTGGGCCTCCTGGGTGCCTCTTGGGGGCCTCCTGGGGCCTCTTGGGGGCTCCTTGGCCTCCTGGGGCACTCTTCAAGCGGGAGGGTCGAATTTTGGAGTCGTGGTCCCCCTCTGGGCCGCATCTTGGGGCCGTCTTGGGGAACTGTTGGGCTGTCTTGGGCGACTCTGGGGCCGTCTTGGGGCCCTCTTGGGCCGTCTTGGGGCGCTCTTGGGGGCCTATTGAGCCGTCGTGGAACGTCGGACAGCCGAAAAGGCTGGAAGGCCAAAATCGTTCGAAAACCTTCGTAAACTTGACGATTTCGGCCTCTGGAAGCGCTCTGGAGAGGCGTCTTGAAGCGTCGTGGAGTGCCTTGGGGGCCTCTCGGGCCGTCTTGGGCCTATCTTGGGCGTCCTGGAGCGGTCTTTCGGCGACTCGGGGCCCGCTTGGGCCGTCTTGGGAGCCTCTGGAGGCCCTCCTGGACTATTTTGGATCTCCCCTGCCGCCCCTCCTCCCATGGGGGGTCGGAGGCGGCGCCCTCCGAGGCCCAGGACGCGGAAACCCTTTAAAAAACACAGGGAAAATGAGCCCCAGTACCCCCATGGAGGCTTTTCGGCGCTCTTGGACCGATGGGAGCTCGAAAACGCGAGAAGCCAAAAACATTGAAAAGAACATTGAACATATACGACTTTGGCCTCTCCGGGCCGTGCCGCGATACCTATCAGACTTCTTGGGGTCTCTTGGAGGCCACCTGGGAGCCTCGAGAGCCGTCGGAAGGCTGACTTGGGCTGCTCGGGAGCGTCTTGGGCCATCCTTTCGCATTCTGGGGGCTCCTAGGGGGCGTCTTGGGCCCTCCTGGAGCGCTGTGGAGGCTGCCCAGAAAGGCTGGGGCAGCAGTGCCGGGAGCGTCCCCGAGATGTGGCCATATCTTTTCAGCGCGTTCCAGGAGCATCTTCCCGGAACGCGCTCGTGGCAGGGCGCCCACTTCCGAGGACGTTGGCATGGGAAACCGCAGCGCGTGATCAATCATTCCAGCGCGTTCCGGCGAAGACCGTCCGGAACGCGCTTGGGCAAGCGCTGGGTTTGAGGAAGGCGAGTGGGAACCGTTCAGGCAGTTTGGGATGCTCGGGGCAAGAGGCGGAAGCCATCCTCAGAAGACATGCAGTCTTCCTGGAGCCGTCTTGCAGAAAACAAAAGAAAAATGAGACCCTGCAGTCGTTCCTGGAGCCGTCTTGGAGCCCTCTTGGGCTGCCCTGGAGCCTGTTGGAGCCCTCTGCGGAATGGTCTTGGAGCCCGCGCCGAGGATCTGGAAAATGTCAGGGACCATCGCGGCGGCCTCCGAGGCCCGGGACGCCGAAACCCTGTGAAAACACAGCGAAAATGAGCCCCGGTACTCGCATGGAGGGTCGGGCAGCTGTTTTCGGGCCCCTGGGTTAGAACCATCGCGCGCGCTTCGCGCGCGCTCAGGTTCTAGCCCAGGCCGGGGGGGCGCTGGGCGATCTTGGACAACGCTATCAAGCACAGGCGCGCGACGGCATCTGAGGAGCTTCTGGGGTGTTCCGCATGCTTCGTCAACTGGCTGTTGGAGGCACCTCTGGGTGCTTCTTGGGGGGGCGTCTGAGGGTCCCTTGGGGGTATCGGTTCTGCAATCTGAAGCCGTCATTGGCCGTCTTGGCTGCGTGGAGGCCCGACTTGAGGCCACCTGCGGCCAGATTGAGGCAATCCGGAAGCCTCCCAGGGGCCTCCTGGAAGCAGTTTTGACGCATCGAGGGCACTCTTGGGCTACTTGAAAGCCTCTTGGACGTCTCCTGGTGGCCTTTTAGGCCCTCGGGGAAGCTTTTGGGGTCCTCGTCGGACCACTTGGGGGCCTCTTGCGGCCTCCTGTGGGCCTTGTGGGGGGACCGCTCTGCTGTTGGGTCGCGTTCCCCTTCTTGGGCCTCTCTTGGGGCTCTTGGGGCCCTCTCGGGCCGTCTTGGGCGCCTCAAGCACCGTCTTGGGGCCCTCGCGGGCCGTCTTGGGGCCCTCTTGGAGGCCTCTTCCTCTATATGGGAGCGGTATTGGAAGCCTCTTGGGCCGTCTTGGAGCATCGGGATGCCAAAAGGCAGAAACAAAAACGTCAAAGCCCAATCGTAAAACAATGTGTTGTGCCTCTTGGGGCCACCTTGGGAGATCTCTTGGAACCTCGTCGGCCCTCTTGGGAGCTTCTTGGGGGCCTCTTGGATCCGATTGGGGGCCTCTTGGGACTTCCCGAGACCCTCTCGGGGTAGAAAGCTCGGATTCTCGGTTCATGTTTCCCTTCTTGGGCCTCTCTTGGGGCCGTCTTGGGGCCCTCTCGGGCCGTCTTGGGCGCCTCAGGCACCGCCTTGGGGCCCTCGTGGGCCGCCCAGGGCCCTCTTGGAAGCATCTTCGGCTATCTTGGAGCTGTCTGGGAGGCCTCTTCCTCCTCCTCGTCCCCCTCCTCCTCCTCCCACTCCAACTCTCTCTCCTCCTGATCTTCCTCCTCCTCCTGCAGCGTGTTCCGGAAGGCTCCCGCCGGAACATGCTGTGCACAAGTGCTGCCACTGCTGCCGCCACCGTGCCCTGGGTGGTGGGTCAGAGGCCTCATGGGTGTTGCTTTGGATCTCGTGGTTGGCCTGTCGGGGACGTCGTGATTGCAATTTCGCAGCTTCTCGGTAGCCGTTTCGGGACCGTTGCGGGGCCTCCTCGGGGCTGTTTTGTGGCCTCTGTAGGCCTCGTTTGGGCCTCTTGGGTTCCTGTTGGCCTCTTGGGGCTCCTTGGGGCCTCCTGGGGCACTCTTCAAGCCGGAGGGTCGAATTTTGGAGTCGTGGTCCCCCTCTTGGGCGCATCTTGGGGCCGTCTTGGGGCTCTGTTGGGCTGTCTTGGGCGACTCTGGGGCCGCCTTGGGGCCCTCTTGGGCCGTCTTGGGGCGCTCTTGGGGGCCTATTGAGCCATCTTGGAACGTCGGACAGCCGAAAAGGCTGGAAGGCCAAAATCGGTCGAAAACCTTTGTAAAATTGACGATTTCGGCCTTTGGAAGCGCTCTGGAGAGGCGTCTTGAAGCGTCGTGGAGTGCCTTGGGGCGCCTCTCGGGCCGTCTTGGGCGTATCTTGGGCGTCCTGGAGCGGTCTTTCGGCGACTCGGGGCCCGCTTGGGCCATCTTGGGAGCCTCTGGAGGCCCTCCTGGCCCATGGGGGGTCGGAGGCGGCGGCCTCTGAGGCCCAGGACGCGGACCCCCCGTAAAAAACACAAGGAAAATGAGCCCCCGTCCCGCCATGAGGGGTGGGGGCACCTGTTTGTGGGCCCCCGGCCTGCCCCCCAGGGATATATATATATATATATATATATATATATATATATATGTATATCTATCTATATATATATATATGTATGAGCTATGTGCGTTGTATGTGTATGTGCACATGTATATGTATATGTACATGTGTACATGTGTGTATATGTGCCCACATAATTCAAGGGTCTCCAAGCGACCTCGGGCCTCCGCGCGGCATCGCGCGAGATGCAAGAATTTTGAGCTGCAGCTCGCCCCAAGTTCCCGCGACCGCAGCGCGTTGTCTTCCTCTTGTGTGCTGGAGTGGTGTATGTAGGGAGGGGGGGGGGCGAAGCGGGGGCGCCGTGATGTGTCGTCCCCAATCAGCCGCGCGTGTGCGGACGCTTTTCTGTCTTGTGTACCGCCGAGCTTGGCCACCGCCGCTTGCACAGCGGTGCACCCGTGTGCGCGGCAGATTGGTCTGTCGGGAGTTGTTGTCGACTTGAAAGTCCTCCCTCGGCGCAAGCATGGCGCGGCCATCGTGGCCGCGCTCTGGTGGATGTCGCGCGCGACGGCTCTCTGGCGCCTTGGCGCAATATACATGCAGCTGAACAACTACAAGAAGTAGCACAGTCAAACGTGGAATTACCCTGGTCTCTAGTTGTTCTACGAAGCGTTGTATTTCCGCCTTCCGTTTTTCATATGTCGCTCATGACTCGACCAAAAACAGCACCCCAGAAAGTGGGCGTCAGGCAGGCTGCGTCTTAGTATCGTCAAGGCAGGTAACACATGTATTGAACATGGGAAGAGCACAAGTAAATGGATCACGGGCCTTCCCCAGATCAGAAGATGGGGCAAACATAGCGCCCCGAACGGAAAACATGTCGATCCTGAAAATGGGGAAAATATAATCTAAGCGCAGGGCCCCTGCGTGGCGCTGTCGGCCTTGATGGCGGCCAAGTGGCTCCAGGAGAAGTTCGCGGGCACGGGCTGCGCGACGCCCCTGGCCCAGAGGAGTTCGAGTAGGGGATCGACCACAAAATTGATCCACCCCCAAATTTTTTCCTCGTCAAATCTAGAAAATACGTAATATTTTTCATGGGCTAGACGAAAACCCAACTCTGGGGTCAATCAATCCTGTAGTCGATCCCCTTCTCGAGGAATGCAATGCTAGAAGGAGCGGCGCAGGCAGCTCTCGGAGGCCCGCGCGGATCTCTGGGCGATCCGGCGCTGGCAGCCTTCCTCCCCGCACCTCATTGCCTCCACGGAGCGCGTCAGCGTGCCCAGGAAGGCGCCAGAGGCGCGGCCAGGGGTGCGTGAGCGTGAACGCTAGGAACGGGCCCGCTCAGGGGGGAAGCATCGGCGGTGCATCGCCGATAGACCGGCCGTTGGGCCCCCGATGGCGAAGCCGCATGTTCCCGGGTGGGGTGGAGCATCCGAGCCTCTATCGACGATGAGTGCGCGATTGGGGATGGATGCGACCCTGAGCCCATCCCCCCCAACTGTCGAAGTACTACCAGAATGAACGCTGAATGAAGAACGGAGACCCTGCTCGGTCCCAGGAGCGCAGAAGTGCACGAGGAGGGCTAGAGGAACAACCACGGAAGGATGCAAGGAGCAGCGAAGCCCTCTCGAACTCAAAGACGCACCACCTGCCTATGGTCGCCCCTGCTCCACGGAGCGCGCTAGTGCGCCCGGGTGCAGAAGGCGCCGACAGGGGTGCAGAGCGGGTGTCGTGGGGTGGTTGGGGGCCTGGAAACTGGCACCAGCACTAACTCCGCGGGTTGCCTCCACGAGGGGAGGAGGATCCTACATTCTGCGGCAGGTGGGAACCCTTCGGCAGCCGAAGAATCCCCAAATTGACCGCCATCGCCGAGATCGGGATCACCCTCCCTTGGTGGAGGATGCCTCCGAGCCTCCGAGGGAGGGGGGCAACGCCGACCCGAGCCCTCCACGCGGGCCGCCTGGCATAAAGACAGAAACAACGCCATAAACATGCCGTTTCGACGGTCCGCGCGGACCGTCGACAGTTTATGTTCAGGCACTTCGAGTAGGGATTCGACTAATTACATCATTTATTTGCCCCCAAACTCGGTGTTCGCCGAACCCAAGACAAACACGACGCCTTTCTTCGTAGGTTCGACGAGGGAGAAATTCGGGGTCGGATCAATCCTGTGGTCGATCTCCCCTGCTCGAGCACTTGTCTCGCCAGCGACGAAAGCTCACCTCGTGCCAATCTCACGCTGCTTCTTGCTGCTCCCTCGAGGCGCCTGCCGCGCTTCGCCAGCAGCAGCGGCGTCTGACCCAGGGCCTCGGGCCCTCGGCCCCGGCGGGACCTCCAGGATCCGCCGCATCGCATCGGGACGTGCGTCGCATCGGGCCGCCTCGGCACGCCGTCGAGACGTCGGCTCGGATCGCCCCTGCGCCAGGACGCGCAACTATAGGGGGCCGCATGCGAAGCCTACCCCTACCCCCCACGATTCCTGAAAGGGGGGTGGGGTGGGGTCCACCTCGCTCGGGAGCTCCCGAGCGAAGTGACCCCCCCCCCCTCAGACATCGCGTGGGGGGTAGGGGTAGGCTTCGCGTGTGGCCCCCCAAAGGAAGCGCCGCGACGCCGTGCGCGCCCTGGGCCGCGCCAGCTCCTCGCGGCGCCGGGGCCGAACTTCGCATCGGGCCGGCCGGAGCCGGCAATCGCCTCGGCTCGTTCGGATCGACACGGGCCCTGGACCTGTGGCCCCTCAGCGTGGCCAGCTCCTCCCCGGTCCAGTCCGTGAGGTGGTTGACCGCGGCCGTGTGCAGCACCGTCGGGTCGCAGTTGTGGCTCGATATCCGCGCGGCCCGCGCCTCGAAGACCGACCGGCGCAGGGCGTACCTCGACATCCGTCGAGGTGATGTTTCAATCCGCGGCCCCAGACAAGCCTGAGCTGGATCGAGCCGCGAAGTCGGATCGGATCGGAAACGGATCGGATCGTCGGCGAGTCGTCCCGCATCGCACCGAAATAAAACGAAGGCAACGTCGAGACACCATTGCGCCGATGTGGAATCTCTGAGGATCGGCGGGTTTGGAGGATGTGTCGGCGCCGCGGCAATTTCGGAGCGTTCCAGAACGTCCTGGCTAGACCCATCCGACGACATCGGTTCGCCGCGCCTGGCTCCGGCTGGCCCTGGCCGAATCGAACCAGAATCGCGGCCCTGGCCGGCGCATCTATAATCGCATTGAATCGGACAGTAAGCGGCCCTGCCAAAGGTCCCGACCCCCCCCCCGGGGGGCCAATTTTCCACCCCAGCTCCGTTCTTGATGGCCCCAGGCCCCGACCACGGGCCCTCTGGCGGCCGGCTGAGATCGCGGCACAACCGCCCGCAGAGGACAAAAAGGGTTAGCCAGCGCGGACCCCCAAAGAGTCCTTGATTGCCCTGTGGAAGTGTCAGCTTCCTGGCAGTTCGTGCACTCGTCGCACCCTGTTGCAGAGATTCGCCTTGCCACTCCCAGCTAGCTGCCCGTGTCAGCCCGTGCTCTGGCAGACGCGTCCAGGATCTTCACGGTCTGAACGTGCTCCGCTGCCCGCGGCTTCCTCCCCTCTCCTCGCGTGTCCTTCTCCTGTGGTGCCCAATTCGGCTCCGACGTGTCCCTCAGCTGTCCCGGCTGCGTCTTGGACCAAAGTCGCCGCTGACAAAAAGTGTCAGCTATGTGATGCCATGTGTGAGCTGTGTGAGCTGTGTGGTGTAACCTTGACGGGTGAGCTGTGTGAGCATGTGTGAGCATGTGTGAGCTGTGTGTGAGACAAAAAGCGTGGTGCAAGCCATGTGTGAGCTGTGCGGTGTAATCTCGACGGACCCCCCGCGCGCAATGGGCGGCGACGAGGCGGCAACGGGTGGCGAAACCTCGACAGGCCCCTCGGGTGGGCGGCAACGAGGCGTCCACGGGCGGCGACGCAGTGTGAAACCTCGACAGCCCCTATCGGATACTTCTCAACGGAAGAAAAAATCCCCAAGTGCAGCCACTGTTTAGGGAATCTCTAGTATTAGGACGGGCGTGTTCTGCTACAGGGGGATTTTGGACGACAAATAGAGAATAGTCAAAACGGCTTCGGGGTGAAAAGGGGCCCCCTGCAAAATGACAGCGGGCGTAAACCATTCAAACCTCTTCCATCCTCCTCCTCCTCCTCCTCTTCCTCCTCCTCCCTCTTCCTCCTCCTCTTCGCATTCCTCCTCCTCCTCCTCCTTTCATCCCACTCACAATACTCTTACGGAGCAGGATCAAGCAAAGCCATAGGAAAAAGCAAAAAACAACAAAACAAATCAATAAACACAATCCTTAGGAACTTGCTGGGGGGAGGCTCCTTTGATCCCAATCAGAATCCTCTTACGGATCAAAATCAAGCAACACCTTAAGAAAAAAAAAAAACAGACAACACCAAACAAAAACAATGAAAAGCAATCCAGAGGAACTTGCTGGGGGGGGGAGGAGGAGGAGGGGGGCGGGGGGGGAGTCCCCCCATTTTTTTCTTGAGGTTTTGCTAGAATCCGCCTCCGATAAGGGGTATCGGATTGAGGGGAGGAGGGAGGAGGAGGAGGAGGAGGAGGAGGAGGAGGAGGAGGAGGAGGAGGAGGAGGAGGAGGAGGAGGAGGAGAGGAGGAGGAGGAGGAGGAGGAGGAGGAGGAGGACGACGGCGTCGGCGGCGACGACCACGACGACCACGACGGCAGCGGCGGCGGTGACGGCGGCGGCGGCGACGACGACGACGACGTCGCAACACGCTCGAACAGGCACGCTGCACTTCGATCGTGCTTCTGGTTTGTTTGGCAGACTACATCCTCCCTTCCCCCCTTTCGTTTTCTCTTCCGCGCGGAAGATTTCCAACATGTGTTGAGGTTGTAAGCAGGAAGCTATTCTATTTTTGGTGTTTGCTCCTGTATCCCCCACCCCGTGCCTAGATGCGGCAGGAGGGGGTATCCACAAATGGATGCCCCCTCGGCCATAGACCCCGTCCTTCCCTTACTCACTTTCTCCTCTTTCTTCCGCACGGAAGACTTCCGACAACTGTGGTGTTAATAAGCAGGAAACTGTGCATGTGCTTTATGTGTGGCTCCTGCACTTTGATTCCTCCATGCCTTGAATGGTGCCCCTTCGGCCATATGTGGAACAGTTCAGCCCGGCCCAGCCCAGCAGTCTTGCACGCCGGCGAGCGTGGAGGGGGACCCAGGACAGGTTCCGAACATAGGAAAATAGGGGAACCCAAAAAATAGGTTCCCACCCCCGCGCCCGAAAACACTGCCATTCGCCGTTGCCACACCCAACGACAGCAGTATATGGTCAATCGCGTGCAGGCGAATGGCAGTGTTTTCGGGGGCGGGGGTGGGAACCCATTTTTTGGGTTCCCCTGTTCTCGTATGTTCGGAATCTGTCCTGGATACCCCTCCACGCGCGCCGGCGTGCAAGACTGCTGGGCTGGGCTGGGCTGAACTGTTCCACATATGGCCGAAGGGGCATCGCATTTGTGGATGCCCCCATTCAAGGCATGGAGGAATCAAAGAGCAGGAGCCACAGAAAACACATGCACAACTTCCTGCTCATTAGCACCACAATTTTCGGAAGTCTTCCGTGCGGAAGAAAGAGGAGGAAGTGAGTAAGGGAAGGACGGGGTCTATGGCCGAGGGGGCATCCATTTGTGGATGCCCCCTTCTGCCGCATCAAGGCACGGGGTGGGGAATACAGGAGCAAACGCCAAAAATAGCATAGCTTCCTGCTTACGACCTCAACACATGTTGGAAGTCTTCCGCGCGGAAGAAAATACGAAAGGGGGGAACGGAGGATGTAGTCTGCAAAAACAAACCAGAAACGCGGTCGAAGTGCAGCGTGCCTGTTCGCGCGTGTTGTGACGTCGTCGTCGCCGCCGCCGCCGTCGCCGCCACCGCTGCCGTCGTCGTCGTCGTCGTCGTGGTCGTCGCCGCCGACGCCGTCGTCGTCGTCGTCGTCGTCCTCCTCCTCCTCCTCCTCCTCCTCCTCCTCTCAATCAGATTCCCCTATCGTGGGCGGAATCAAGCAAAACCCTAGGAAAAAGCAAAAAGACAGCAAACAAGCAATAAAAGCAATCCTGGGGGATTCCTCCCCCGTCCCCCCCTCCTCCTCCTTCTCCTCCCCCCCCAGCAAGTTCCTTTTTTTGTTTTTTGTTTTTGTTGTTTTTTTCTTAAGGTTTTGCTTGATTCTGTTCCGTAAGAGGATTCTGATTGGGATGGAATGAGCCTCCCTCCCAGCAAGTTCCTCTTTTTTTGTTGTTGTTTTCCTATGGTTTTGCCTGATTCTGTTCCGTAAGAGTATTCTGATTGGAATGAAAAGAGGAAGAGGAGAAGCAGGAGGAGGAGGAGGAGGAGGAGGAGGAATGCGAAGAGGAGGAGGAAGAGGGAGGAGGAGGAAGAGGAGGAGGAGGAGGAGGAGGAGGAGGAGGATGGAAGAGGTTTGAATGGTTTACGCCCGCTGTCATTTTGCAGGGGGCCCCCTTTCACCCCGAACCGTCAAAACATAATCAACAATTGCCAAGCATAGAAAAAGTCGTCTCCATACTTATACATGTATGTGTGTGTATATATATATATATGTGCACATAAATGTCTATCTATACACATTTTTTCACTTTTCCTCCTGTAGGGGGCCATGCCCAACTGAACTCTAGTAGGCGCTCCTCTGGGTCGCGCAGGCAGCGGCGCCTGTCGCTCGCGGCGATCAGGGCGCTGGCGGCCGCCGCGGAGGCAGCTGCGCCGCCAAGGCGCGGGAGGGAGGACGGACGGGCGCTGTGGAGGCAGAGGCAGGCTATGCAATGACGGCCCCAATCATCATAGCAAACATTTGTATTCAAGATCCGACTTCTTCCTTCACGGCCGAACCGATTGCTCTGGAGGAAGCGGTCGAAACTGCAAGAAAACTTACAATTTTAGTGGACAGCCCGCCGTCAAGCACATGATTTAGGCGTCGAGAAAGAGAAGAGGAGGAGGAGGAGGAGGAGGAGGAGGAGGAGGAGGAGGAGGAACACGAGGAGGAGGAGGAAGGTTGACCCCTCCCAGATCTGGGTACTCCTCCGAGCCGGGCAGGTAGGCGCGGCCGTACTCCTCGACGAAGGCGGGGAAGTCCATCGGGGAGGAACCGCAGCCGCCCCGCGCCTCCAAGATCAGCGCGCGGGCCGCGGGCGCCACGAGGGCGAGGAGGGCGGCCGCCGCACAGGCGGGCGCCATGGTATCAGAACAGGTATGGATGAGGTTCAGCTCCGGTAAAAGCTTGCGTGAAGATCCGGGCTTGGGCCAAGTGCAGGTCGAATATCAAAAGGAGCCGTGGACCCGCTGCTGGTCCTTCTCCTCGTGCTCCTCCTGCTCTTTTTGCCTGCCCTTCTTCGGTCACCCCATGTCCTCCGCCTCCTCCTCCTCCTCCTCCTCCTCCTCCACGGCCCCCGTGCAACTTCCCATTTCATTC